CTTTATTTTCATATACCAGCTGTGATTCATGCGTTGCCTGCCCTGTCAAGCATGTTTAAAATGTTGGTTGAAGCTTCGCCTGTAGCTGCAGGCCGTACCTCAATAAAGGTCCATATAAAAATTTACACTTCCTACGAAAAACACGCCAAAAAAATTAAATAGAAACGAGCGCGCCGTCAGCTAGCGTCCTCACAGCCTCCACAGGGCGAGCGGGGCGAGTCAGGGAAAAATTCTCTCCTCGCCGTGACGTCACCCCGGTTTGCCGTAAGGGGGCGCCACGCGAACTTTTCGGGGCTAATAGAGCACGAGGTGGGTAAATTTAATATGCGGCTTGTACTGACGTCACATATTAGCGGCCATTGAGGTGGCCTTGCTGTCCAGCGGGTATACGTTCTGCATCATGCACTTCGTATCATCAAATTTGTTTTGTTTGCTTGTTTTTTTCTTCGCAAGAGCAAATAGGAATAGCCATCAGTAGAATGAGATGACGCCACATGCAAGCTATAAGTATAACTGCGATCTACGGAGTGCTGGGGCCCTAGACTGGCCAAACACAAAGTTGCAGCCGAAACTTCGAGCTGCGCGCCGATTTGACAGTCGGCACGCTCCGTGAACTAATTTGAAGTTGCATAGTGTTGCCAGATTGGGCTATATATAGGGTGTTTTCACTGACGTAATTTCGTCCACCATTTTGTTGTTGTGAGCTGTCTGGTGTGTGCCAAACTCGAACATTCCAAGGATCTGCATACCACCTCAAATGCGTAGAGCACAGAAGCTTGTCTTACCACGCTGACATCATCTCAACCGGTTACGATGTAATCTTTCAATGTAGTGAATTTGTTTGAAAACACAAACTAACAACAAAATGGCGGATTGACGTCATGTGCAAACAACCTATAGCCAAATTAGGCTACATTTTTTTTAGTTAACGTCAAAATTTTGTGGTTGGCTATGTGGCTATTCTGGGATATTTCTAAGATTGCGGCGAACTTTTGTCGAACCTAAGGTTCGGCGCCGAACTTTGAGGTTCGGCTAGTTCATTTTTAAACTTTTAATTAGTTTCGAAAAAAAAAATGTTTCTCTTTTGGCTAGTCGAGAAAAAAGAGAGGAAGGAGAAAGACTTCAAACTTCTATAAACTTCGGGGTTTTCACAATGCGCAGTGAAGCAATGCTTGCCGAGTTCAAGCGGTGGAGCAAACCAAACAGATTGCACTATTACCACAGGCCCGGTAGCGCGTCTTCAACCCGGACGCATATGGCTCTGCCCGGACGTAGACTGAACTCTTCAAATACTGCTTTGGTGCCGGTTGTGAGAATCCTTAGGCACCCAAGTTTGTAAAAATGAGAAGTCCGCGGTTTCATCGCTAAACAATTGACTACCTTCCAGTCGGTGCCCACCCCAAGAAAGGACAACGCAATCAGAAATAGCGTGAACCGGACTGGGGGACACCAATATTCTATACAAAGAAAAAGAGACGGGTGGGATATTGGTAAGGACCTCAGATATTGGGGTTCTGGTTCGAAACTCCCAGTGTTCTGCTTCTGTATTTTGTTCTTTTACTGGTTGATAATATCTCCCGGGCTTCACAATAAAGCTGTCTTTGTGTGTTTTGTACTTCTGAAAACCAACGAAGGAAGGGTCAGTTCCACAAGTAAAATAATGTACACAAAATATGGTGCATTTTAGGGTTAAAAAAGAGATTGTAACGTTTATTGTACGAAAGTGAGAAATTGTCAATATAAGGCTTAAAAAAATGTTTTTTTCGGCTTTGGCTATATTTAGGCTATGCCTCCCAGTCATTTGGCAGTTTTTTGGTGGGACCATCTGGCAACTCTGGTAGCATTACAGGCAAGGAGGTTATATGCACTGATCCAGGGCACTGATCTCTATGACCATTGCTGGATCGCGCTTCCCCGCACCGAAAATAAGGCCACCGTCGGCCATCTTACGAGATATGCTCTAGCGCTGTCAAGCCTAGACAGTTACCATGGTTACCGTGTGTAGGTCACGTGAAAACGGAGGCAAAAGTCACGTGACCGCCACCTTGACAACGCTTCAGCGGCACTCGTAAGATGGCCGACCGGTGGCTTCAATCACGCAATGGGCTCGAAGCGGGGAAGCGCGATCCAGCAATTGTCATAGAGATCAGTGGTTATATGTAGCAACCACTGATGTGTGGTACCAACGTTACTGGAGCAAGCTCAGTTTCACAGCTCTGCCTGCGACGTGGGCTCAGTGGCGGTCACGAGAACTAGCAGCGCTGCGGTCGAGCCTTGCTTCCGGATTGCCTAGCCCGCCAAGTTTGAATAGCAATACTTGAGCTTGTGCGAGTTGTTGATTCATACTAACACTTCACAGCGCCAGGAAACAGACGCACACAAAAATAAATTTCAAACACTAAAAAAAAAAGAAAAAAAAGAACACTCACAATGCGCTGGTATATTACACTTCATCTTCATCATCTTTTCCTTAGTATTATACATATATAAAAATTAAAAAAAAGAAGGAAAGGAAAAGGAAGCTCTCAACGTGATGGTAGTAGACGACGCTCGAGACAGGGAAGCAACAGAGCAAGATCCGACTGCAGCGCCGCTAGTTCTCGTGACCGCCACCTGGGCCACTCGCCTCTGAGCTTGCTCCAGTAACGTTGATAAGTACTAGGAGGGGGCACGTTGCAATATTGGTGAAGCGATGGATCGTTGATTGTAGAAGGATTCCTTCCAGGCTTGCGCGCGCTCTGTCCGGTAGGTTTTATTAGATCGAAGGCTAGACGAAGGCTAGCTATGGTCATCTGATGTGGTCAGCAGCGGCGTAGACTTTCCATTTTCCCGGAAGGGGGGGGGGGGGGGGGAGGGGGGGCGCGGGGGGCGGCAGGCTGAGTTCTCCCGAGGGGGGGGGGGGGGGGGGGGGGTGCTGCGCGTTATTTTTTTTTTTGCCAGAACTGAAGATTGAAGCTAACGAAAACACGCTGGAATTCCATCTCCCACGTATTTTCTCAATAAAGGCAACGTGCGCGTTAACGAAGAAAGGGTAAAAGCACAGGCGAGCTGGTGAAGAACTTCCATCGTAAACCGGAGACACGGAAAAATAAAAAAAACGGACAAAACAACAAGTCTCAAACACAGCTTCTAGTTTATTTGAACACCTCCGCTCTTATATATACACCACAACCCTCCTCTCCAAAGGTCGACACACCTCCTCTCCACTCCATCAACGACATCTCAAACTGAACCAATGACACATGCTACCTCCCTTCCTTTCATACCAACCAAAAACTGACCCAGTCGACCTCCTTTCCTATCCACGATAGCAGGCACTCAAACAACAAACCCTGCTAACGATAAAAACACCCCCCCACCCCCCCCCCCCCCCCCCCCCCAAAAAAAAAAAAAAAAGAGAGATAGATTTTTTGGAAACGACCAGCCACAGCCGATAACAGGCCTATCCAACAGACACGGTGTTAACATTCAAACACCCCTCAAAAAATATATATATATATTTTAGAGACATAGAAAGCGTTTCAGTTCACTTCCGAAAGCCAAGGACGGTGTGCTGACACAATTGCCACGCTCCATAATACATAAAGTCTCCCTCACAACTCTCCTACCATCTTCTTCCTCTTTATGCAATACCTGGGTATCCCCCCACTCAGGCTGACAGTGATTGCAGTCTACAACATGGTTAGCTATTTCTGAATGCTGCGCATTTTCTTTTACCGCCCTTTAATGTTCCAGCAACCTTTCATTCAAACAGCGACCAGTTTGACCTACATAAGACAATCCACACCGCAACGGAATGTCGTATACCACTCCTACTTGACAAGTTAAATCAGGGTTTTGGTGTTTCTTTAGGCAACCCTGACGACCGCCCGAAAAGGGGGTTAAGCAACTTAAGCTTTCCAATTTATGTTGTGCCTTGAAAACTAAATTTACTCCGAACCTCTTGGCCACTGACTTCAAATTGTGAGATATTCCATGATAGTAAGGCACGCAGACCACATTTTTCACAACCGGTTTTTCTACCGGAGCCGAACTGAACTTTCTTAACACCTTGAGCATAACGCTAGAAATCACATCCTGGTGATGGCCCGCTTCCAAAAGACGCAACTTTTGCAACCCTATTGGTTCTCCAACGTGATGTACACATGACTTTTTACACGCGTTATCTACCACAGATGCGATTACACCCCTCTTGACTAACTTCGAGTGACAGCTGTCAGCAGCCAACAAGGGTTTTGCCGATGCCTTACCAAACCTCCAGCACAAGCCCTTTTGTGTGTGTAGTAGGAGGTCTAGATACTGAATCTTGCCCTGAAGAGTGCTTCCCTCCGTGAAGCTCGGAGTACAAGTGTGCCGGCTAGGAGCTCTTGCAGGCCGGTAGTCGGTTTTATTTAGGGGGGGGGGAAGGAGTTGCCACCACCGTCCCCCCCCCCCCCCCCCCCCCATCCCCCTTTTGGACCCGCCCCTGTTATTAGGCGCATGAAAGACAAAACGACCGACTGAAGATGATCGGAACGCAGTTATCTAGGTCATGAGTTCTGCCGAGCCTTTCCAGAATGTTGGGCATCTGTTCGAACTTCGGTTTACTAGTGCAGTGTTACCGTGAACATTACGTTCGTAGGTTTTTGCATTTTAAAGTGGGAGTGTCGCGAGCCTGCCGAGTTTCGAGATTTTCGTACCTTCTACTCGTACTACAGAGGCCAGCTTCGAGCAACGCTTTCACGAATTCGTACGAAAAACCGCAAGCTTTTCGTACGAAAAACCGAAAAACCGTGGACTTTTCGTACGAATTCGTACCTACGGGTAACAAAAACCGGCCTTGGCAATACCAGTGTGCGCCGTGTGCGCAGTATTTCCAACCCACTGAAGGTTTTTCCTGTCAGGTGAACTTCCCACACCAAGCGCTGTCGTGCTGTTTCGTAGTGCAGCGCTACACTTTTCTTGCGGCGTTCAAGGGAACTAAAGTTTGGAGAGCCATAGCCCATACCCTCCTTCCGTGACAGGGTTGGCTGTTAACATGGGTTGTCGCTTGGCGACCCTGGGCTGCCTGGGCGAGAGGGTGCTCCGCAGATTGTTGTTGTTGTTGAGGCTTCAAGCGGTGCACGATCTCGTGTGTTTTCTTTCTTCTCTCGCCGCATCGTCCGTGTCACGGCTTTACGTCGCGTTATGAAGTGTTTCTCGATTTGAAGTAAGTCGTGCCATCCCAAACTCCCTTTCAATTCACCGCCAATCCCAGCGAAATGGCCGACGAATGTTCCATCTACGTATCGCTGGTGCCCGAGAATTCATGCAAGTTCGAGAGGCATAAGCTTTCGCCAGTCAAACTCGACGACACTGTCTCATCGCTGCAGAGCAAAGTCGCCGAGCTGTTCAAAACAAAGACCGAAGACGTTGGTGAGTTTCCAAGTTCCCAGCTCTACATCCGCTAGTTTTCCGAGTTGGTCTGACTTGCTGGCGGCCTTGCTTTGTTGGTCGACCGCCTACGCAGAGTATTTCGGTCATCGCATACGATTTCTCCATGACACGCCGTTTCTGAAAGACTGCGAACATTTGCACGAAACCATTTAGGCGATGTCGTCGTTTGGTATGTTCCTAACTCTGCTGCTCTGGTGTTTGACTAGAATTCTCGCACTTACCCCTTCAATCCAGTTTTGGGTAGGGTACATATAAAAAGTACTTAAGTACAAAAGTAATGTACAAGGTAAATGAGAGGTTATGTATACTTCAAGGAAAGTAGTCAGCACACCGGGTGCAATGTACTTGAAAGGAAAACACAAAAATACAATTCACAATTTCAAAGTAAAGTACTTTTTAACACAATATTTTATGATAGTCTTTCATACCTCTATAAAGTGATTTTTGTTTCTGGCTGGTATGCATCGCTTCTGGGGTAATTGTGTGTGTGTGGGGGGGGGGGGGGGCGGGTGGTCAGTCAATTAATACTTTGTTCGTAATTGTGCATCAATTATTTTCGCAAACGGCGGCGAATATTAGATAGTCGAGTTGCCATAGAGTCGTTCGTTTACACTCGCTGACAACCATATTAATTATAAATTTAATTATATTTTTAATTATAAATTTAATAATTATAAATTTACCCTATTTACTTCTGCCTTAGACCACCATTACTTCTCTCAGAGAAATGATGTCTCAAAAGGCGATAATGCGTTTTCACATGACAATACACCTTTTTTTATTAATTTGGGGAATGTATGTTGACGTTGGGGAGGTGTACTTTCCTCGTACAGTACCAGAAAAAATACTCTATGCAAAGTACAATAACATACTCAAAGAATGTATACTTCAAGTAAAGTACACATTTTTAAACCCGCTCAAAATTGTACTTCAGTTACAATATACTTGAAGTACTTCCCAACAGTGTTTCGATGATTGAGGCTTGCTATGTTGAGCTGAAAGTCAGTAAATATCGCCTGCGCTAATTCATTGCGTGCCAAGTCTAGCCAATTGTAGTGGTAGATTTTTGCTAGCAGCAGTTTCGTTGTTACCTTTGTTTTTCGTGAACTAGTGCAGCGGGTGCTGTCAGTGCCTGTGCCCAATTCTAAACTCATTATTTTCCCTGAATTGCAGAGCTGGTGTTCCTGGGAAAGAGTTTGAAGAAAGACGACACGCTGGAAGCATGTGGGATCAAGAACGGCATGACAGTTTTTGTCTACCCACACCACGAACCAGGTGCTGCATCCAACCACTTAGGAAAGCCGGCCCCTCAAAGTCTTTCTCAGCATGTCTGAACACCCTTTCATTACTCTCCTGCTCTCTGTGTTTATCGTCTGAAGTAGGACAAAGCTATTCACAATGGACATATGAGTAACCTTCAGTTGTTTGGAAAGAGGGGGAGCCTGCCTTTCCACAGGTCTTTCTCCTGCCTTAACTGGTATGGTGTCATATGGTGTTTCTATATAACACATGGTTGAAAAAACCCCGAGACTGTGGGTAAACGACACAACACTAAAAAGCCTCTAATAAAGACTTTTTAGTGTTGTGTCGTTTACCCACAGTCTCGGGGTTTTTTCAACCATGTGCAATGTACACCAGCTCTTTTGCGCCCTTAATTTTTGTTCATAATTTCTATATAAGGTGGTGTGCTCGCAAATATGAGCGTTTCTCAAGTTAATCCCATTCATATTGCTTGTGCAGTAGTTTAGAGCACTTGAAGCAGTGTGCTGTGCATATTATTGCCGTTGCTGCTTTCATGTTGCAGTAACTTCTTTCACTCTTGATTAAGTGGCATTAAGCGACTGTGTGTCAAAAAGATGACCTGGGCTAAGGGCTGGCTTTCCACTCGGCACACTGTTCCCCAAAACATGTTGTCAAAGAAAAAAAAGTTAGCTTCCATTTGTGCGTCTTGATTTCCCAGTAAACTTTGGAGTCTACTAAATGGTTCCTTCGAGTACTAAAGCAGCCCGTGCCTTTTCCAATCCACATGTTCTCTTTTCAGAAAAGCCGACCTGCACGCTCAACATGCAAGAAATTCCTATGATTGCGTTTGGGACTGCGGTGGTCAACCCAGCCTTCCGGAGTGTGGTAGGTGTCTCACATGCTTTTTGTTTCTATGCGTCCCAATGATGATAGCTATTAAACAAGACCTGTTATAGCACTTCTGATATGCAAGGAATATTATGAGAGGTTTCCTTGCTACCTGGATATTAGTGCAGATAAAAATGGTACAGGGGCTTTAGGACCTCTCCTAGTTTACAAAGCACACAAGTGCTTTCTAAAACAAGTGCAGTGGAAGTTTCTTGAGACTTGTGCTGATGGACAGCAAGAGCATTACGTATGCAGTGAGAAAAACCTCGGAATGTTTCTCGCACAAATTGTTGCCTCCTGAACTGTTTAGAACAGTGGTCGGCAACCTTTCTGCAGCGGCGGGCCAAGGCTAGGTGGCGCAAGCTACCGCCCGTTACAAAGGGTATAGCCATTAACATCCATTATTCCATCCATCGAGCTGCCACGAAGCCGACATGGAAGGGGCCAAATGGCAAGACAGTGAAAAAGCAAAAAGAAAGTGAGACATACTCTGCCCAAGTATGGGGATGCTAGACAATGTGAAGTTGCCAATTGAAAGTGCTCCTTGTTCCTATCTTACCCCATTTCAGGTCAAAACTGCCTTGTGGTTCTTGAGTCTATGGGAGGAAGCGGCAAGGGGGAGGGGGGCATACTTTTCTAGTGTCGTATCTGTATAAAACTGCCTCGCAAGCTGCGAGTTGCCGACCCCTGGTTTAGAACGGCGTTTTTTCATTTCTTGTTGTGGCCATGCCTCCAATGCTAGCGAGGGGCCAAGAGCATATAAAAACTTTTATTTTCCTGACCTTTAGACATTCTCAGCTCAGCTGAGCACTGTGCTACACAAATTGTGTGGGTGTGTAGTTACCGTAAAATACCGGGCTAGCGCCCACTGAAATTTTGGAGATAATTGCAAAAAAATGGAGGATGAGCGCTTGTCTGGTCATCAATTTTACATAGCGTATAAATGTACTGTGCGTATTTTCTCAGATCTCACACATTTGGTAATGGGCGCTTAATGTGGAATGGGGGCGGATGCACGGTAATCTATGGTAGTGCTAACCCTCCTAGACATGGAACTTGAAAGCACGAAACCACTACATACACCGAAGAAAATCGCGAAAAAAGCGGTGATCATCTTTTTTTCAATAGGTCTAGCTGTAGATCCAGCACGTAAAGAGCATTCTTTTCGAATGAGGAACAAAAAATGCCTCTTGTACCGATTTCATTGATTATCGGCACTGGTGAATGATGTCCCCAAGTAATATCCTAATGCACAGACTTTTCGTAGAAGCATATTCCAGCACAGACACATTGAACTCCAACAAAAACAAACAAAATGCATGGTGGAGTTTTCCCGTGTTCGCTGCAGACAGAATTTTGAGTTACTCTGGTGGGTCAGATGCAGGTGGGTTATCGTACGAAACCACTATGGAATGAGATGGAGTAAATTGGGAACACAGCTGCATGCACATACGATAGCGCAGAAAATGGATGATGCGTAAGGTTGCGACATAGCACCGATGCAGCTGTTGATGGCGTGGTCGCAACGTAGTGCTTGGCTTCCTTTCGGTCTCGCAAGGCCCCCCCCCGCACTCTCTTCTGGAATCGTCCACTGTCAACCGTTCGAGTCACTTCAGCACGCCCTCTGCGTAGCTGACTTTTCTCTTCTTTTTTTAGGTTATTATTAAGTATGTCCCTCGTTGATGTGCAATCACCGATGTAGGCTAACGCTTTCATTCTTTCTGAATACATGATTCGAGGGAAGGGGCCGCCTTAGGGATATTGCGGCAGCCCTTCGGTCCTTCTGTTTTCTGAGTGCGATTTGATTTGCAGCTGCAGAGCCTGACCAAACCTGAAGTTCTCGAAAGTGTGATGGCGTCTACGCCGGCCCTTGCTGATGACCCCATCGCTGTTGGTAAGGGTGCTGAATTTCTCTTCTCGTGTCTCGACATGTGGTGGCGTATGCCGTCAGTTAAACCCTGACCCGCTTTTTTTTTTTTACTCCGGGCTTAATCTAGGGATTCACTACCAAGAAATTCCATTGTTTGCCCTTGTTCCCATTGTATCGCAAAGAGACAAGAAAAAAAAAAAAAGGGCTTCAGCCCTGCAGAAATATTTCTTTAAACCGGCCTTTGACAGCTTGTGGAGTGCACTTACCGCTTAAACTTTGGGATAAACCGCTTGTGGAAGTACACCAGCATGCGACCTCGGTCGCTTCCGCGTTGAAGCAGGGAATATTTCAGCTTCAGCTGTTCAATACAACGCTGAGAAAAAAATATGCTACAACGTGGATATCCGTTTGCGATGAGACTTTGTTGATTGTTGGCCGACATGTTTCATTTGGATGTGCCCTACTCCCAAGGTATTTCATAGTCTTTCCGAAAATCCCAGTGGCGTAGCTGCAGCATTTTGAACTCATCTGTGAGGTCACGGATCGCTCATCTTGCAAAGGAACTTCCAAGCACATAGCCTTCCCTTTTTAAGTATTATGAGGGGGCTACTTTCTTCCAGTTGGGGCATCTTAGCAATTTGTCTCAAACACACAGAGGGACACTGTCTAGGTTATGGTGCTGCCGTTGATTGAGTTGAACTTGTTTGCAATCATGTGGGTGACTGATGAAATTACATCTGACAGGCGTGCTGCTCTTCTATGTTGCATTACTCGAGATGCTGTGTGGTTGTGCATCACCATAGTTTCGGTGTTCTTCCAGGAATCCTTCAAGACCCAGAGTTGATGACTCTTCTGGCAAACCCCACGTTCCTCCGAAAGTATGTGGACGTTTTCTCACTCTTAGTTCTTATACGACACAAACTGAATTCAAACTGGTCCACTGACGTGCTCATTGATATCTAGGAAACTGACAATTGACGTCCTCTGAAACTGCTTTGCTAAAGGTGACCAGATTGCTTTAGATGAGTGCAAAAAAAAAGTGCAAAGTTGAAGAAGCATAGAAAGGAGTGAGTCTACCAAGAAGGAACCAGTTAAGACAGCTTAGCCACAGACCTTGTTGCAATGTGTGCGTAACGTCATGCAGTCTGTTGCTCGGACAGCGCACCGTCTTTGCCCTCTCCCGCATTCATCCATTCTCGTTTAGCAGGTAGAAATTCGCTTTATCAAGAGAAGACCTGGCACGTGCTTCCGTTCAATTTGATGAGCTGCAAACCCTTTTTGCAAAGTTTGCAGAGCGCACTTTGTGAAAAATATCTCGCACTCATCCGCTCTCCTCAGGCACTTGCCAAGAGCTTTTTCTATTCTCCAAGAGGATACTTCTCGTGGACTATTAAGGACCTAATTTTGCCGGATGATCGTTGGTTCGTGCAAATGCACACGTCGCCTCGTCTCAGTGCTTGAAACAACAACCATTGAATATCCGAAGCCTTACCTAAAATTGCGGAAGATGGTTTTTGGTCCTCCAGAAATGCTGAAGCGCCACCGCATCGCCCTCGCTTCTCGACATGATACTTGATGGTTGGAAGGGAAGGTCGCACTTTCAAATTGCGACTATCGTCGGGTACACCCGCTCACCAACAACCGAAATGGCGGTGGCAGAACCCACGTTAAGGAATGGAGGCTTGATGCTCCGAAGGTGCGTTGGCACTTGAGACACGCCACGGTCGTGTGACAGACTATAAGTCAGTGACAGGTTAAGATAGGAGTTCGAGATAAGCTCCTCCCACCTATTTCCACTTTAGCAGAGCGAACTCTGGAGGGGAGGCGACTTTCTCTCTGGCGTTCGTTCTGCTAAAACGGAAATAGGAGCGAGGAGCTTCTCCCGAACTTTTAACCTGTCATCATCTATTGGGGACGTGCACGGACAAGAACATTGTTTCGGTTGGCTTTCCATGATTGGCCAAACGCTCACTATGATGTGTTTAGTAGGACGAATTCTGCTTTCTCTAATGGAAATAAGAAGAATGCCAGACCATCAACTTTAAAGGTGTTGGTTTAGGAAGCGGTGACTGGGAGCTTCTATCGTGCTTTTGCGCACCGTCGAAATTGTCGCCGACGATCGATAGTCCCAGCCGTGGGATTATCGATCACCATGAGGAACTATGAGATGGAGCCACAAAGACATCTCGTCACTGATAGCTATGGGCGACAACCGATGTTTGCACAGTGGGTGATCAACAGGTTGCTACCGGCAAGTTGCTTCTCTGAGGTTCTCAGGAGCTGCTGTTAATTCCGTCCCTCGCGCTACGACTCGGGTTCGTGTTTTGTTGTCTTCCTGTTTCCGTTGTCGCGTGCGTCGTTTTCGCCATGAGAGAAAAACTTTTGATGTTGGCCCGAGTCCTTCGGAAACCGCACAATGAAAGCACGATTGCTACGCTGGCGTGCACCCTCTCGAGCTTCCACGGTGAGGTATGTGTAGACCTTTCCTGTGGCAGTCTAACGAAGCAATCTACAGCGCATGTCCCTGGTTTCGAGAGTGTACTTTGTGTTGCCCGGCTGTGCTTGGCCGTGGGTTTTCTCCTCGGTGCACTGTGGCAGCCTGCGTGGGCAGAATTCTGGACGCCGGTGGGGGCTAAATGGCCATGTTTTATTGTTTCCTTTGTGGCAAATAGAATTTCTTGAGACTTTTCAGAGAGCATTATACCATTTTGGGGAACAAAAACGAATTACATCACGCATCACTTCCAGGACGCCAAGGACTGGTTCAGCCGCCAGGCGTCTCAACGACGGGTCCAAAAAATCAATCTGAATACGAATGCTGAATAATGTCGCCTCTACTTGCAAAAGTTTGTCTCGTGTCGGTTGCAACTTGCCGGCATAAACACACCTTAAACATTGCTTACTTAGTGGCCCTCGTCGCCTGAAGGAGTTGCGTCCGATCACGTGCAAGAGAGCCCCAAGGGCACATGTGACATAATTTATTTTGGCATGTTTTGCATTCGATTGTGTTGTGTCAGTTTACAGACCCGGGTTTGACCCCTGCACCCACCTGTTTTGATCTGGATGAGGGTTGCACTGGCGTGTGGTTGCGTATCGCCGCTACATGATGCACGTTAAAGGGATACTGAACCGAGAGGTGGAGCTCACAAAACAAGTCTAGAGCGATAGGCGGGACACTGCGAAACCCAAAAGCATCACTGGTACAGCAATATGTCAAACGGATGGCCGTATTTTTGAGAAAGAAGTGCGCTATTGAACACGGCCGACGAGACATGTGATGTCACGATTCTTATTCCCTCTCCTCTTCGCTTCGTCCCCTCAAGCTGGTGAACCAAAGGTAGGAGTAGAGATGCTAGGCCGCTTCTCCTGACTCTCAACTGTTCCAGGAGGATATTGATGTCACATGCCTTGCTTGATCGCGCCTTTGTTTTTTAAAAATATGGTTATCCGTTCGAGATAATGATGTGCGAGTGAAGTTTTGGAGTTGCTAATGTCCCGTTCAAGGCTTCTGCGGCCTTCTTCTCCGAAATCTATATTTCAGTTCAGAGTCCCTTTAGAAACCCTGGGCTAGTGGTGGTACTGCACTGGGTTAGTTTCTTGTCCACAATGGAGACGCCAGATGCCCATTGGGGTTGACCAACTTCCCGCCGTCTAAACATACGCTCAGCACTATTACTTTTATGTTTGTTGCTTACGGGCAAAGAAGTGAAGAAATGACGACGATGATACTCTGGACAGGATGGCGGAGAGTCATCCGGCGCTCGTGGAAGCGGCGGTGCAGATAGCGGTGTCGTTTCACGAAGAGGGCATGGCCTCAGGGCGTTCTGCGACGCCTCCTCCCGACCCCTCTCTGGTGTCCTACTCTCTGGATGCCCTCAGTGACGACGACGACATGGACTCGGAGCTGGAACAGGTGAGCGTTCTCAGACGCCTTGTCTTCTCACGTCCAATTTAGTGGTGCCGTGGAAGAGCGGGTCATACCACACCGGCATCCGATGGCTTTGGTACGGCAAAGAGCCCACAGTCTTTTATTCTGTCCTGACTGCAATGCATACCTGCCAACCAAGGCTCCCGTATTAGCCCAGGGAAACCCGAATTTCAACCATCCATTTCGTACGGTTGTACGATTGACAGAAAAATCTGCCAAAAATCACAAATTAACCCCTTCCCCCTCTTTACCGCACTTAAAAGAGCACTGACACCACAAAGGTCGGACTTTTTTCTTTGTTGCCTAAAATAATGCAAGTTGTAGCCATACACACCAAAACAAATACAAAAAAAAAAAAAAAAATTCCACGCGTGTGCACTTTTTTTTTTCTGTTACTTCTCACCTCTTCACTTCTTTTTATTTGTGACGTGATCGATTATGAAACTTAGAAGCTTTATAAGCGACATTTCTGTTGTACAGTCGAATCTCGTTAATTCAAACTGAAGGGGGACCGAAAATTTGTTTGAATGAAGCAAAGTTTGAATTATCGGGAGTTTTCTCCCATAGAGAGTCATAGGATGGGACCTGCATGTTAGTTTGAACTAAGAGAGATTTAATTAATAAGAGTCAACTGTTTTGAATACCAAAATTCGTAAAACATCTTTTTAACACAGTTGCGAATGCACTGCGCCCTTTTGAAATATTGGAAATTGGAGTCCAGAAGTGGTGTTGCCTCCTGGCTTTTTATCCTTCCTCAAAAAACACGACGGCGCTCGGCACCTGTAGCAGAGCATGTAGCAGCGAGAATGATTGGAGAGTCGGGAAATCAAACAAAGTTCTCTGTGTTTGGTAGACTTGCCTCTAGCCTTGGACGTTTTGCTTCGTGTGATGCGACCTGCAGCTGCAAGTTCGTCGGAACGACGCCACACCTCAACCGAGGTACCATTTGAACCCCCAATGTCCTAGAGATGCTTGGGCTGACCTCATAATCGTCGTCGACGAAGTGTCGAGAAGGACTGTAGGACTGTGATCCGAAACCCTCCAATAGTCCTTCAGGAATTGCAGCTAGCCAGGCCGCCTTCTCCGACACATTCTTTAAAAACTTGCGCAGCATACTTTTGGCAGGGCAGCCTTTCACGCAGCACCGGCCCAACATGACCCCTTATGTCACTCACGAAAGTTCAGTGCACATACTTTTCGACCTCGCACCATTTCAAAGAATTTAAAGGGGCACTGAAGTCGATTGTGAGATCGTCCTATTGTGGTGACAAGTCAATCTAGACGCTTTAAGCATCCCAACAAACTCGGAAGCATAATCGTGTGGAGCTTATTTTGTTGGTAAAAGCGTGTTCAAGCATCGCAACACACACTTTTTGGGAAGAATTTTCTTTTGAGTGAGGTGGTCGACACGCTTGTCGGCGAGTTGCAAGCAATTGCTCCACCCGCGAAGAAAAAGAGGGGACTTATCCGAGCGTGTACCTATCAAACTCTCTCCGAAACGAGTTTGAATAAAATCATTCGGAATCTGTGTGTATTGTAGGGCTTTCATTTGTCCACATAATGTAGTCCACTAGAAAAAAGAGCCCACATGTTTTTCTATTGCCCCGAGATGAATAGTCAGTTTTGTTATACTATAGGGCTTGTTATATGTGGGAACTAACAGATTCTAAACAATTTAAGATCAAAAACGACCTTTTTCAAAAACGACTTCAGTGCCCCTTTAGGATCGCTGAAAGGGCCCTAACAGAACTTTGAACTCAAAAGTGAAGCGTCGTCTGCTCACAGTGATGGGCGGCACGCATAGGGAAGGGCGGTTGGTCGCGGGCCAACACGACACTTCCGGTTGGGACACTTTGGAGGCGGTAGAGAAACTGAGTTACAGGACATCTCAATTTTTGATGTCACTGCACTGGTGCGGATCGCGCGGGAGCTTCAAATTCGGCTTTTGGAACTTGTTTATTTTACTTCACAAATACTCAGTTCTCAAGCCTCTAATTTTGTAAGGGAAATGTCTAAGCATCGTTTTAAATTGTGTCGGATAATAAAAAAAAAAAGATTTTTATATGTCAGCCAGTGCCCCTTTAAGCAATGAGTTCTTGCCGTTGCAGGTGGTGGCAGCAAGGATAGCAGAGCCCAGCTGGGTATTGCTAGCATGAGCAGTACAATACAAATGGCACATAGTTGTCTTCGTTGAAATTCATTGTCAATATTTCTTAAAAAAAACCGCAACCCCCTTGCCGGCTTAGATACTCTCCTGAATTCAGTTTCTCCGAACTTGGCAGGTATGGGACAATGCCTCAATATTTATTGAAGGGCCGAAAGGAGCATTCATTGTTTCGAACCGATTGTTTTTGTCGCAGTTCAGAAAAGAAGGGAACTACAACCGGTAACGCTTTTATGCAAAGACGGCTTCGTCGACCTTTTGCATATGAAGCCCGCGCTCACTCCTCGCGTCGAGGCAGGCTCGTGCAACATTTTTCGCCCAGTGCGTCCGAACCGTCGGATAACGTCGCGCGTCTGGCGTCTCCCTGCTCCAGGGCATGTCGGGGGCTGGCGGGATGTTCTCGCCGAACCGCATCACGCCCGCCCAGCTGGCCGCCGCCCTGACGGCCGCGGCTGCAGCACCTGCTTCGGGAAGCCCGGCGTCGTCGTCTCCGCCGGGGGCCACGGGTAGCCCCCGGGTGCCCCCCTCGCCCCGCCTCAGCGCCCCCCCCTCGACCCCCCGCAACCCCATCACGTCCGAGATGCTCAACAGCGCCATGCAGAGCGCCCTGGGCAACCTCACTGTGCCCTCCGCAGGAGGAACACTCCAGGTGAGGCCGCAGGAGCAGAGCGCGGCCAGTCATGAGCTCTGACGCCGGTGGTCTTGAGAGAAAGGGTCATCATCATCATGTCTCTTTATTGTGCCCATAAACGACCAGAAGTCTGTAATGCGGCACTGGTATATAAAAGTTAAAAAAATAATCATGCCAAAATATACATCCATGAATTCATATGAAGAACAGAAATTCATTTGAGCAACTTGTATGCATCACTAAGAATAAAATAGCATATTATGCAATTGACTTTTGAATTCAACATAGTTATTGAAAATATCTAAGTTTTCATTGCCAAAATTATTGATGCATATTTTGCATTCTAGATAAAGGCGATGACATTAGGTTATTCTGAGTGCAAAAAGTAAAAGCACTCCTATTAAAACAAGCCGGAACATTAAAATAAACTTTGTTTAAAAGCTTGGAGTCTATATCATTATGAATTACTCTGTGCAAAAATACTATATCACGTGTCAGCCTTCTGGCAGATAAAACTTGAAGCCCTAATTTAGCCAAGGAGAAGTTCATAATTATAAAAATGTCTCCTGCCAAAATGTCTTTCATAAGCTATGCACACCAGGTTGGTGCATCATGGCCTATGTTGCTTTTTGTGCCATTAAACAGCTAATAATCAATCAATCAATCTATGCACACCAGGTGTCTCTGAAGAGGCTTTATTTGTGCTTCATCATGTGCACTAAGAGAATTCCACACTACCGAGATGGAGAGCAAAAAAATGGTGGAGGAACAAGGCAGACGACAGATTAGGCGTGTTTACCCAACACCTACCGTAAGATGTCAAGAGGTGGACCATATGAAATTGATAGCAGATGGTATAAAAATAAGGCGTAAGCTAACTTGCAATGTGTCATAAATAAAAAGTGAAAAGGTGAAAAAATGCTAGTTTTAGATTTTGTGATCCTCGAAACTTGCAATCGCAGGAAAGGGCTGTGAACCGAAGACGACCGTCCTTCCCACTCAGCAGTGTTCGCTCATCTCCTACCGTGGTTAGGTAACACCGTTTTTGCTGTGGTCGTCATTGGCCAGGGCCCTGCAATTACTAAAAGTAGGCTACCTTTTGGTGTTTCGGTAAAAGAAAATGACGAATCCACGGCAATGACATGCCTCACCTTAAAGCTCTCTGGTTGCGATGACTGGTGGTTTCCTCCTCTCCAGCATTTGCTCTGCGCTTTGTGCCCATTGACGACGGTCATGAAAGAGGGGCTTGCCCCACTGTTCTCAACCTGCGGCAGACTATAGAAAAACGCTTGTTAAAGACTGTTTGAAATTAGGGAGACCGTCCCTCTAGCCTCGTACCTCGTAACGTGACCTTCAGTTCCCTTCCGCTACTGCCCTCTCTGAGTGTCTGGGTATTTCGTCGGCTAGACTGGGGATGCTGAAGGATGCCTCACTCTGCTCTCTTACAGAGGAGAGAGGGTGTGTGGGAAAAATGTAAAAGAGCCGGTCATTGTTGTTTTTTTTTCGGAGGGAGTCTATTTTGGGCGGTTGAGGGAAAACCATGTCTGAAATGGGTCACCACGGTATTCTTCTCTTGACGAGCACATTCCAAGTGCGCAACAGATACCTTCCAAATAATATTTTGCCATTGTTTTTTTTTTTTCTGTTTATCAAAGCGTTGCCAGCGATCTAGGAACGTCGGGACTACCTTTAGACGCCGGCGTCTCACTTATCCCGGTTTTTGTGTCGTAATACCATACGTAATATCCCATATATGTATATTTTTACTCTGTTCATGGTGCGAATTTCGCCCAAAAATGTACGACCCCGTGTCTGTGTGTTGGTCTTGGAACGACCTTGCAATTATTGCAGTTGCCGTCCGGAACGGCCGGTGGCGGAAGCGTCGAGTCCACGGATCCAGCTGTCAACTTCCAGGTAAGGGATCCTTGTTCTTTCTTGGAGCAGGGTGGTGTTTCGGTGCTAGGTCGCTTGTATCCTCACGCTTTTGCTGCCGCTTGATCATTAGTCTGTGTAGACTACCGCGATGCATTTTTGTAGGAATATTGTGTAAGCTTTTTGAAGTAATAGCTTTATAGTTTGAGAACCCTGTGCATCCCTTGCTTTCTCCTGTCAATTTGATGTACAGTAAAACCTCGTCATAACAAAGTTGAAGGAGTGGTCGTAATTATTTAGTTATAACCATTAGTTTGTTATAGCCAATATCCATTTCTTCCCACTATTAGCAAGCAAGGCGAATTATGATTGCTTTGTTATATCCATTAGTTTGTTATATCCCATTTTGTTATAACGAGGTTTTACTGTAGTGGGTGCAACCAAGTGTGACAGGTGAAAAGACCACGCTTTCTTCGTGGCCCTTCCGCTCATTACTCTCCAGTTGGGAGTTCAACGGTGTCCCGTTGTGTTTCTGTCTGTCCTTCATCCGCATTTACAGTTTTTTGTCACTGTCATGTACCAAACAAGCATGGCTGAACATTTTGCGATACTAAATGTGTGAAGTGCAAAAGACAAGCAAGGGCATTGAATTTGTTTGTTATTGTCTCTGGACAATAACAAACAAATTAGTTACTAGTTCAGTCAGCGGGAGTTTAGTCTGCCACAGTATGGCGACATTGATAGACGAGTAATTTGGCCAGTGCAGTATGGCCGCTAGCCGAGGGTCTTTAACGTGCATCACGCAATTGTAAAATGGGACAAAAGAAAACAATAAAATTGGTCGGTTGTTTAGACAGCGGGGTTTTGGTCTACCAGAACACGGCGACATTGTTACATACCTGCCAAGTCTCCCGTATTACCTGGGAGACCCCCGAATTTGCACCAGTTTGTATGCTTGTACGATTTACAGCAAAATCTCCTGGAAAACGCAAATTACCCTCCCTACCTGCACTTAAATAAGGGGTTTTTGCTTTTGCAACAGACAGCTGCAATGATAGCGAGGCCCAGCCATATCTCGCTAGTATTAGCAGTGCAATATAAGTTTAATCAAGTTGTCTTCATGTATATTTGTTGCCAAAAATTAGCTTTAAACAGCCGCTATGTCTCCACCCCCGCCGCTTAAAAAATCTTCCGGATTTGGTTTCTTCGAGCTTGGAAGGTATATTGTTACCCCTGTAGATAAATTTGGGTAGTGCAGTACAACCGCTAGACTAAAGTTAAGGCAGTACGGCGGTATGCTCACCACTGGCATTTTAACAAAAATATAAGGAAGAGAAGAAAGAAGTGGGCTGAAGACAAAAAGGATGAAAACAAAAGAAATGGAAGGAAGAGGAGAAATCAGAGTGAATGCAGCGAAAAAGACTAAAAATTTTGCATTAAATAACGACTTCAAATTAAAAAAAAAAAAATGAAACAGACATTTACCAGAACTTGAAAACCCCAACACGCGCAGGGTGGTCATGTCTTCGTCTGCCTTTTGCACTTTATACGTTTAGTTTTAGAATGTTCCCAACTAGCCCGCCATAATATTTTAGTACATTTTGCTACATTGGATGCTTCTTTGCTCCTCAGAGTCAGCTGCAGCAGCTCCGTGACATGGGCATCGCAAATGACCCGGCGAGCCTCCGCGCCCTCTCCGCGACGGGCGGCGACGTCCAAGCCGCTCTTGAGCTCCTGTTCGGCGACTTCGGCGAGGGCGACTCCATGAATGCGCCCACGTAGCCGACCGATCGCCCAGCCCTTGGAAGAAACGCGCTCTGCGCCGTCTCTTCCGCATTTGTTTGGGGGGTGGGTGGGGGTTTTTGAGTCGAGACTTTACCGTTCGTTTCGTGCTCCCCTGGCGTTGTTGTTCTGTTTGAAGCTCCGCATGCGCGCCCTTTTTTTTTGTGTGTCTTGATCTTTCGACGACTTAGGACGGCGTCGGTATGGCCCTTCCTTGGCCCGTTCTCATCATAGGCGCACACTTGCGCCCACGAGCTGCGATTGGTTTTTGTTATTGTACTTGTGGGGCAACCTCGACGTCGAGAGCGGGAGACGAAGAAGTCCTCTCGCATCGCGATTCGTTGGGCGATCGGCCTCGGACAAGAAGCGTGGAAGGGGGAAAAACGGTGTTTTTTTTGTGGTCCTTGTCTCGTGATCTCCTTTCTTTGCTGCGACCTCAGCCCTTGTGACGTCCTCGTCACTGCAATCGAAACAAAAGAGTGGGATTAATTTTTGGGGGATGGTGTTGTAGGAGAAATGTTGGCAATAGAGCTGGCCAGCTTCAGCTACGCGAGTTCCGACAACCTTGTGGGTGAAAGTAATTTGACAAAATATTTTGCGATTACTTGCCGCAGCGGTTCATTTTCATGTGCCTGGTTGCCGTTGGGTCTGTACCATAGGTGGCAATGAGACTTGGGACTCTGCTCTGAGGCAACCACTGGTACATTGTTGGTCTGGTGTCCGGACAAGCTTACATCTGTGCTGGCTGGGCTTGGATGTTGATTCTGGCAAAGAATTGGCAGTATTGGCCGCAGAATTTGTCATTCTCATTAGGTTATTTCATTATACAACTTGACTTATGCTTTGATGCCATCGACTTATTTAAAGGGGCAATGTAGCAGTTTTAACTTGGAAAGAATTTGCAGTTTTCAATTTTAACATTGGTTATCTTACCGAATGGGACGCAGAAACCGCCTCATTCTCTCGAAATATCGCGACCCCGTTGCGTAATAGCAAAAAACGGGTATCTTTCGCAAATTGCAGCTGCGGGGTGGCGACCGTGGAAACTAGGGTGTAACGCACACCTGGGTGCATTATAATAAGTTGGCAAGATGTACCATTGTGTGCTCAATCTTACACCATGTTTTACCCCACATTACCACAATCACCACATTTTACAAATACTGTCGTTTCAGTGTGAGTATATGCGTTAAAACCCTCACGTCGTCAACAAAGTTGTATTTAGTTTTAGTGGCGCCATCTGCCCGAGGTAAAAAAAAACATTCCTCCCTTGAGCCTCACCCTATTGCTACTGTGTCCAACTTCCTTATGTCAAGGCAGCGGCTCTGAAAGAGAACCCGCACTGGAGAATCCCTAGTGCACCCGGGAACACCTCACTGCGCACGTGACTCGGAAGACGGTGCAAGAGTGGTTGGGAAGCGCCCAAAACGTCAATAAAGCACTGGCTAGGTCCCCAAGCGCCTTGGCCCGCACTCGAGAAATCATGGGAACGGTGTTCCTTCGGTTGCCTAGTGATTGGTAATTTCAGCCAATTTGATGCTTACATACTTTTACTTTTAGTGTAATCCTGAGTCATCCTGAAGAAACGTTGTGTAGAGTCCAAAAACCTGTCGTATCACTTTTAAAATTTCTTTTCAGTGTTGGTGTTTTTGAGACCGTGCATGCAATCCACAATTCAACCCTGCTGAGTTGCAGAAATCTCTTGCAGTATTATGATTCTCGTACAGCTTTGAAGACGCCAATGTTAACTTAGAAACGCTAAAAATATTACAAACAGCCCCGCTTACTCGGAGTTAAATCCTGGTTTTGCTTGTTGTAAATTCTCAGCTTTCTAAGCAATTCCTGATAAAATAACAATCACGAAAATGACACTATTGTAGGAGATTTCTGCAGCTCAGCCAGGTTGAAGGGCGGATTGCATGTACAGTATTGAGTGCGCTGACATTGACGAATTGACGAAAAAATTTTAGAACTGATATCACAGGTCTTCGGACTCTATACGACGCTTGTTCAGGATGACTCTGGATTACATCAAACGTGTGTAAGCATCGAATTGATCAAAATTACCGATCACTTGAGAACAGAAGGAACACCGTTTTCATGTGCAAATGGTCTATTGTTTGACAATCTTTTTTAAAAAGAACTAAAGCGCTCAAACAAAATTGGTTTTACTTTTTTTTTTATCCAGACGTGGCAGGGAACAACTCCCACAATTATTTGACTGAAGTCCAAACATTGTTGCACGGCCCCTTTAACTGCCGTATGCACTATAATTTTAAAGGGACCCATAATTCGGCGGTGGGTGCATGTAGTTTGGGTTAGTGGAAGGATTCAATATAAACCAGCTTCTTTTCTGTAGCTGTGCAATACTAGGCCTACTGATGATAAGCTTAAAAAACTTTCAGGTGGCTGACGTGTTTATTTTGACTGACCCTCGGAACAGTGGGGACACCGGGGACACTTGTTTTGTGGAAATCATGGTTTTTGCCTCCTAAATGGCAGTAGCGGTCTTGCTTTCTTTTGTAACAATGAATTGGTTGTAACACGATGAATTGGAATTAGCTGGAGTAAATGTGTAGCTGTTAATGGTAACCGTGCACCATTATTGCTACTTGCATGACAAATTGCAAGGAATGCCAGTCAGGATATTTCATGTTGGGGTCTATTATTACTACATTATTTCCCTAAAACCATTTTCTGTTTTGATGGTCTTTTTGTACCTAAATCCTAAAGCATAGTGTTACACCCTTACATACTTCAGACTTTCCATTTGTGGGTTCCCTCTTTGAAGCGTTGGACTAGCTCCAACATGAAATGCTCCCAGAGGACGCAGGTTCGAAAGAGCAGCTAATTGGGTACCTTTTAGCTCTGAACGCGATGAAGGCTGTGGTTTGAACAAACCTTTCATATGAAAAGCATAAATGGCTTAATATTTTTGAGCAGGTGTGTTACAGCTGGGATTATCGTCGGTGCAGACACCAAAAAGGCTTCCTTTTGAGTTTGGGATAAAGGACTACTCGTGTCGAGATCACGCAAGAAGTCTAAGTTCACACTTTCCTCCATACTGGAGAGTTTTCGGGAACTTATTGATGTATGGGATTGTGTTGAAATGCTTGAGGAGTGGGCAGACGTCAGTTATGCGAAATAGGTGTTTACGGTTGAAGTGAAGCTCGTACAGACCAGTTTGGAATTCCACTATATTTTTTGGTGAAAAAATAAAATAAAAATGGGCGTGGTGTTTTTCCAAAAAATCGGTTTTTCTGCAATCTGAGGATCGCAGACTGCTGTCATGAGATGCAGGAAATGTTGGGAGAAATGAACTGACTGGGTGACTTTCAGCAATGGTTTAGTTTCGGAAGCGGTGCAATGCCTGTTGTAAGTTGCTGCTTGGCATCTTTCAGAGGTTGCACTGTCTTGACATCTGAAAATCTTGCCCAGTCCAAAGCTACCTTTACAGGAAGTAAAGCTCTGGCACTCACAAAGTTTGAAGTACCACATATTTACTGCTTTCTTTTTCAGCCCTTTTCTGCTATAGTTTTCGGTGTATTGTAGGTTTAGTTGATGCAGTGTTATACATTCAACTCAGTCAATCAAGCACACAAGAACAATGAACGTGAAGTCAGATCTCAAATGCAGGCCTGGAATTTTTTTTTTTTAAGTATTGTGTGTTTACCTTTAGAAGTGCATAATACTTAAACATGAACAAGCATTTAAGAGTTACTTTTGCTTGTCCAGAGGCCTTTCTGAGCTTCCGTGGAATTTTGGTGCATTTTTTTGTTGTCTTCCGGAATGCATTCTGATCAATATAGTCATTCATTTTCTACTACCTTGGTTGCACTAGCCTAATAAGATTCACAGCAGTACTGGAGTTCATGTTACATGTCATATTGTTACATGGTTAAAGTGACAGTTACATATCACTTGCTCTGTTCTTTTTAGATTCCACTGCCCATATTTTTGGAGGTACTGTTGACCACATAGACACCTTCCCAGTCTCGCAGTGTTTTCACTCATAAAGTCTAGTTTCGTAAAGTTCTCACAAGTCTAGTTCCCAGCTCAGGTTTCGAGTAAAATTCTGTGTTTGGCCTATTTTATATGTGATTTCTTTTGCACAAATGTACAAAGGATGAACCACGAATAAACAATTATAACAAACATACAGATCTAAACTAATTCACAAACCGTTATATATATATATATATATATATATATATATATATATATATATTTGCAATGGTAATGAATTTCTAAAAATTATTTTAAAAGTTTTACTGGCAATGCTGAAGATGTGACGTCGCTGTTGGAGTTTGGGGGCTTGTTTGTTTCCGACGGGGTACAAGAGGCTTGATTGTGTGAAATTAATGGTAAAATCTGACGCCTGCAAAACGAAAAGAAGAAAGAAGACTGTTGTGTTTAGTCTGTCTGCTCGACCATAATAACTTATGTGCTCGACTATACATATGGCGTAACCTCCCTAGAGAGCACGGAAAATTTTAAATGTCTGACCTTTTCTTTTTTTGTATCTTAGCAAAACGTTGGCTCTGATTTCCAGGTGGTTCCTTTCCCGGTTTGGAATGCATACCCTATTTTGGACAAGTATAAGCGGAAGAAAAACTTATCGAGCATGTTTGCTAAACTCACACAAAATGAATAATTTATTTGTCTTGGGTACACCCCGGGTGTGTCCTCCGTCACGCCATCCAAGCGTCTGTCGTACGAGAGAAGAGAACAATGAAAAATGACTTCACAGTTAGCAATATTCAAAATTTCAAAGAAAGTATAAATTTTAAAATTTTATTGCCAGAAACCTATGACGGATCCAATGAAACGGCATTCGATGAAATGTCCGGTCCCAGGTGCGGTTGACCTAGTGCGCAGACAGAAACTCAGATGCCTCGTTTTGTGAAAATATGATAACTGAAAACCGGCATCGTCTTTCAGGCACGTGCGATCTTTTGCGGTTCCGATATAAAAAAAGGTGCAGGTCGATGCCAAAGTCACGAATCTCGATAAAAAGCCAAAGAAAATCTTGCCACAAAACCGACCGATGCAGAAAAAAGCTCACCGGCCTCTTGATGAATGCGGTGGAAACTTGACTACGATTGTCGTTTTCGGAAATGGCGTTCTTTTTGTATCTGGAAAAAAACAATATTCTTTTTCGTATTTTGTAGTAACCTGTGACCCCTGGTTTTGATGTTACAATTTGGGGGCTGTCTGTGATCTTCGGGTGCAGTGACGAGGTCATGTCGTTACAATTCATAGAACTTAACATTGAAGCAATGTCTCCATAGAAAGAAGACGTGTCCATCCCTTTGTTAATTGTTCCTATCCTGCAGAACTGTGGACTTCTGCTTCTCCATCCCCTATTGGTGTCCGTAATATACGAATTTTGTATACATCTTCGTTTATGTTCCCCACAGGGCCCCCAGAGTAGAGCCGAAACTACTAAATTTAAAAAAAATTGATCGTATAATTCTTGGGTCGGTTTATCTCAGCTTTATCTCTGTCAGTTTTGTGGTGAACTTTTCTTTGATGAGCTTTTCTCCCGTGAGCTTCTCGGTGTCGCGCTGTTCTCCGCCGGAGAAAAGCTCACTCAAAAAAAAGCTGGATGCGGAGAAGAGCTCACCAGATTTGATAGATGCGTTGAAAAGCTCACCTCTGCGAACCGACCTAACATTTTTTTAAGCCTTTCTCCGCCGCCCAACAGTAGCAGCCGACCAAGGGCTCATCGCAGCAAAGACAGTGCAATGTCTGCACGCTGAACCCGCACAGCGCGGCTCTTTGTCTCGAGTTCAGTCGTTGCGCAAAGTGCTCCAAGAACTTCTTGACCCTGGCTCGCGATGTCCTGCATCAATGCGCTCAGCTTCTTCTTTACAGCGGAGCTGTTATGGGTTAGTTTCCCCAGGATCGTGTCCCCCGCAAAGAAATGTCGACACAAAACTCTGGTTGCCGCCGTCTCTCATAGATGGCGGTAGCTGCCTAGAGTGTTGTGTTTGCCGGTTGTCCGCTTGCCGCCGTCGCTCATAGATGGCGCAAACTTTCGAGCCCTTCCACGCCTTCCACTCTGGCTTGCCGACTGCCACTAGACCTGTGCGCCGCCGCGCCGCGCCGCCGCCGCCGCCTGTTTTGCTCTCGCCGCCCTGCGCCGCCGCCGGGTTCCCCAGATCCAGCACGCCGCCGCCGCCGCCGCACAATAAATCCGGCGCGCCGCCGGCGCCGCCATCTTTTTTTTTTTTTTAGGGGGGGGGGGGGTTATTGGTGTTTTTTTTTACTGCTTCTATATGAGTTTTACCTACTATATTATGCATAAAAAATGAATAGAATGTTTTGCCTTTCATTTTTACTCCTGTAAATATACCAATAGATGTAGAAGTTCCATAAAAAACGAAGACACAGAACAAAAAAAAAAAAAAAAAAACGGACAAAACAAGTCTCAAACACCGTCTGTAGTTTATTTGAACAACGAACGTTGTTACATATACCTCAAAACCCTCACCACCAAGAAAGAGACACCTCCCCTTCGCTAGGTCACCGAGAGCCGGACACTCGGACAGAACCCATATGATTCATGATTCAGACATATCTAAATGATTTACACCACCCTGATGACCTCGCTTGAGGGCTGACCAGCCACATACGATAACAGGCAACTCCAGCTCCAGCACAGCCCTTACAATTCTGAGAAAACAGACACAAAAAAACGCTTCATGTCACTGTCCAATGCCAAGGACGGTGTGCTTGCTCAATTACCAGAGGTCAAAATATGCATGGTCTCCCTCAGAACTCTCCTACCATTGCTGATTGTTGGGCGAGTGTGTATTGTGCGTGAGAAAACATGATTGCGCTTTAAGACATAGACAGAGGAAGAACACCACAGAGCGCTTACTTTCAACTGATTTAATCCAAGCGCCTCAGCGTAGATACACACTGCGTCACCACACCACATCGCAACCAATCCGTGGCCCCGCCGCGGACTGCAAATAAGCCATCTCTTTTTCTGCAAAGTCAATTGAAACCACGCATGACTGCAGGTGCAAACCATTATTTGCTTCCTCCACTGTTCTCGCTAGGCACACAGATAAGACTGTTATAGAGATAATTGAGGCGGACGCCATCAATAGTTCCGGCACGTGTTGTGCACGTGTTTTATTCTGGCACCCCTGAGGACTACCCCGAAAAGGAGGTTAACCTTTCTAATTTGTGCTGAGCTTTAAAAACTAAATTTACACCGAACCTCTCTGCCATTGTTATAAAGTTATGAGAAATTCCAAGGTAGTAAGGCACACACACAACATTCCTTACAACCGGTTTTTTCCACAGGAGCCGGATTAAACGTACGTTCCTTACACCTTGAGCACAACTGTAACAATCCCATCCTGGTGTAATTGTTCAAATGGTTGTGAACGAAAATTGAGTTTGGCAGAAGGTGTTGTCGGTTTTTATCTAGAAATGCCTGACAGGCGTGGAGCAACAGCCCATTGTCACTCAAAAACTCTGAGCAATTGATTGAAATATTGAATCCGCATCATGGGAGAAGGTACGATGTGACAACTGTAGACATCAAGGACTTACGTTACTCTATGGATAAGTCGGAGCTGTTAATAAGGGCCAGGAAGTGGTGTGATGATAATCTAGTGAAGCTGCAGTCTGCCAATGGGATTGATGTAGATAGTTTTATCAGCGTTCTGGAGTTTCATTTAGAGTCCACTGCCGTAGACTTTGATGGTTCTCTTTTTATTCAAAAACAGGGTGTGTGTATCGGGTCGTGAATTGCTCCAGTGTTGTCCGAGATTTTTTTTTTAAACGAGACTTATGTACACGTTGACACGGTTGTGCGGTCCTTGTCGATTGGACCGCAAAACCCTGCCATCGCAACAGTCGAATTAAGTACTTATAGACCTACTGTTGCACACGGAAAAGGGCCTGTGCTGGAGGTACGGCAAGGAATCAGCCAAGCCTCTGTTGGCTGCTGACAGCTGTCACTTGAAAATAGTTAAGAGTGGTGTAATTGCGTCTGCGATGGATAGCGCCTGTAAAGAATCCCGTATGTTTTGGGTTGGTGAGGCAGTTGAGTTGCAAAAGATGCGTCGTTTGGAAGCGGGCCATCACAATGATGTAATTGTCAGAGTTGTGCTCAAGGTGCTGAAGGTTTAATCCGGCTCCCGTGGAAAAACCGGCTGTGAAGAATGTCGTGTGTGTGCCTTACTACCATGGAATCTCTCATAACTTTATATCAGTGGCGATCGGTGTAAATTTAGTTTTCAAAGCTCAGCACAAATTAGAAAGGTCAACCCCCTTTCTGGTGGTCTTCAGGGGCGCCAGAAAAAAACATAAGAACCCAGATGTAACTTTTCAGGCAGGAGTGGTGTAGGGACCCTCTCATTTCGTCGAAACTCGTTTCGTGAAATTAATTATCGCAGACAACATTTCATGGGCACACGTTTCACGGACACACGTTTTGGCAAATTGCACGCTGTAGGGACATCTCGTCACGCGTGTATCATACATTAGTAAGGGTTCTGATGGAGTTGCCTGTTATCGCATATATGGCTGGTCAGTCATCAAGCGGGGTCGTCTAGGTGGCAGGTTAGTGTGACCATGAATCTTTTGGATCTGCCTGAATGTCCGGCTTTCAGTGACCTACACTCTAAAAAAAGGGTGTATTCTTACACCTTTTGTCCCATATAAGACACCCCAAAACTTCAGACGTCGATCTGACGGTACTAACTTTCACGAGAGGCTTGATAGCCGTGTGGTACAACTTATTAAAATAGCTAATGTACGTTTTACTGACTACAAAAAAAAAAACAAAAAAAATAATAATAATCGGGGCTGCGAAACATCAGTGTTTTCTTTCTGTGGTCTTTGATACGTACTTTAGCTATTTAATCAGTTATATCGCTCCGTTATTAAGCCTCTTGTAAAACGTGTCGCCGTCTGTGCGCTGTGCGTCAAACTAAAGTTTTGGGGTGCGTTATATGGGACAAAAGGGTGTATAGTGATACCCTTTTTTTTAAAGAGTTCTTTTTTGGTTGTGAGGGCCTTGACGTATATATAAGAGCGTTAATTCCTTATTCAAATAAACTGTTTATTTTTTAATTTATTTATCAAAGTACCCTCAGGGCCCGGAGGCATTACAGAGGGGGAGAGCACATAC